TAGCTACGAGATTTTGTTTTAGTTGATAGGAAAACGGAACCTGAAACATGTTATAAGACTTGAACAACATTTAGAAGTGAGGGGCACAAATCACAAACACCAGACACTCGGCCAGTGCTTTTAGGAGACTATGTTCTCATTATCATCTAACACAAGACAATATTATGAAATATTAATATTATATTAAAGAAGTGTGTTTATTGTATAATATTGTCTTCTGTTTGTGATAAGAAACGCTTTCTGACTCAGAGTTTCAGACTGGAAAACAAAATCACAAAATAAGAAGTTTTACATGCTACTGTTCTATACTTTAACCTTTTCTCCAGAATATTAAATAATTTCATAAAAATAAAAAAAATTTAAATTTTACAAGTGAAACTGAGTTATTATTTCCTATGAAACTTAACACACCTCGCCAACTCGCTTTTTAAATTCACAAAATATATTCATTGACATGCATTATTATTGACTTTATGTTGTCAATATTTATTACAGGGTTTGTAAAATAGATGTAAGCATGCCCATCCTGGTTTACAAGAGATATTGTAATGTATATAATTGCATGAATTAGATTCATTTTGTCAACAGACTGTTTTTCATCTTCTATCCCCGAGATAATCCATGGTCTAGACTAACCTCTAGTCTACTAATTTTACACTTTTACCATCAATTATAACTCATGCTTTTAGCGTACACATTCTAATTATTTATCTAATGTAATAAATATTCCTTAAGCTATATTAACAGCTATTTATTTTATATTTAGGGGAGATGACATCACATCAAAGAATTTTATGGTTTACTACTCCCTGAGTTTTATTGTACACAATGTTTCAACAATTTACATTGTCATCATCAGTTTATATGGTATACTACTCCTGAGGTTTATTGTACACAATGTTTCAACAATTTACATTGTCATCATCAGTTTATATGGTATACTACTCCTGAGGTTTATTGTACACAATGTTTCAACAATTTACATTGTCATCATCAGTTTATATGGTATACTACTCCTGAGGTTTATTGTACACAATGTTTCTATAAATTACATTGTCATCATCAGTTTATATAGTATACTACTCCTGAGTTTTATTGTACACAATGTTTCTACAATTTACATTGTCATCATCAGTTTATATGGTATACTACTCCTGAGGTTTATAGTACACAATGTTTCTATAAATTACATTGTCATCATCAGTTTATATGGTATACTACTCCTGAGGTTTATTGTACACAATGTTTCAACAATTTACATTGTCATCATCAGTTTATATGGTATACTACTCCTGAGTTTTATTATATACAATGTTTCTATAAATTACATTGTCATCATCAGTTTATATAGTATACTACTCCTGAGTTTTATTGTACACAATGTTTCTATAAATTACATTGTCATCATCAGGTGAAATAATTTAATACAAATATTCATCAAGTATGAAAATATCGCCTCAAGTATTCTAATTATTATTTTTATCTTCTATTATCCTAGTATTTTTATCTTCTATTATCCTAGTATTTTTATCTTCTATTATCCTAGTATTTTTATCTTCTATTATCCTAGTATTTTTATCTTCTATTATCCTAGTATTTTTATCTTCTATTATCCTAGTATTTTTATCTTCTATTATCCTAGTATTTTTATCTTCTATTATCCTAGTATTTTAATCAGACTAATGACGCAACAAACAGCTGTGACACAAAACGACATAAAAATCATAAAATAATCAATAAAATAAACAAATAATGGTCTAAAATTCAATATTAAAGTCAAATTACAGAAACAATGATTAACGTACTAACTGAATATTGATTACATCGTCTCGATTCCAAGCATATGGTGGCATTCTCATCTCATTTGCATATCTGATGTATATTATCGCTAATAAACATCAATAACTGATCTCGGTTTATGCATATTCATATTATTTGTATGTATAGATACATATTGAGAGCGAAATTAACACATAATTATACAATTTCAATTTGTTATCGAATAATTACAATCTAGTATCATAATGTACTACATTATAACTTATTATCTTATATTAAACTTAGTTTTTATTATTCATGTTCATTAGATAAATATATAATCATGATATGTCACATGGAATCAAAGTGACCAATCATACTTTAGTCTCAGAAACAGGAATTTTTTAGCTGAGTCCATCAGTAATAGTTTTCACAACTCATCGTCGAAATTTGAGCCTTCAAATCAATGTTTTCAAGAATTATCCTCGTTTGAAAGTTAAAATGATGACTCGTCAATTTAAGATTCTCTGTGTTATATAGAAAAGACATCTATAGAAATAGTGAGTTAGATTTCTAGTATTTTTGAAGGAATTTGTGTTGTTCATACATTTCCAGTATTTAAGAAGATTATTTACACAAATTCAAATCCTTGTCTTGAAGTGGAACAAAGTGCTTACACAGCAAAATGGACAGAGGAGAAAAGAAAAGAAAATTCATCTTCTCTCATTGTAACGAATCTGCAAATCTGCAATATTTGCTATAAAGCTAGTTGGCTAAAGTGAACCTCCATCCAATTATTAATTGATAAGGGCTAAGAAACCTGTCAGCAGATAAAACTGTTATATTTATAGAGAGAAGTGACAGGAGTAAAATATAATAATAATATAGGTAAAGTAAGTATAACACAAGGTGACACTATGATGTGGGCCGTTATAAACCATAAATATTTATTATTTTTATTACTCTAGTTATAATTACTCTTCACTATTATCACTATTTATTACAAATACTATATTTTACCATGTTTTTATATAAAATCATTCATTCATCCTAAATTAAGAACAGTAATAGTATTTAATATAGATCAAACTTCAGGGTTGTTTTTAATATTTTATCTATTACTCTGATCTTTGTTTTAAACATTACATTATAATATTTTATCTATTACTCTGATCTTTGTTTTAAACATTACATTATAATATTCTATCTATTACTCTGATCTTTGTTTTAAACATTACATTATAATATTTTATCTATTACTCTGATCATTGTTTTAAACATTACATTATAATATTTTATCTATTACTCTGATCATTGTTTTAAACATTACATTATAATATTTTATCTATTACTCTGATCATTGTTTTAAACATTACATTTTAATATTTTATCTATTACTCTGATCTTTGTTTTAAACATTACATTATAATATTTTATCTATTACTCTGATCATTGTTTTAAACATTACATTATAATATTTTATCTATTACTCTGATCTTTGTTTTAAACATTACATTATAATATTCTAAAAAATAAAAAATATTATCAAAGATTTTACCCCATTCACAGCCACTACTCTCAGCAGACAGAGTAAAAACCCACTACTCTCAGCAGAAAAGATAGCTTGCCTGGCAAGGTAACATACACCCACTGGCAGCTGTCAGAAATGATTAAACAGTCTTTAGTGACTACAGGGTTGCACAATATAGCTAATAGAGTGAAACGTCAAGTCAGACACGATATTTCGGTGAAATATTATCCGATCATCGCGAAAATCAATAGGGATCATCTTCATAATGACATTGACACACAAAATAAAAATCAAAAGAATCTGTAAACAGTTGTAGCCTGTAGAGTGAGCACGAGTTGCACAATATAGCTAATAGAGTAAAACGTCAAGTCAGACACGATATTTCGGTGAAAAATTATCCGATCATCATGAAAATCAATAGGGATCATCTTCATAATGACATTGACACACAAAATAAAAATCAAAAGAATCTGTAAAAAATTGTAGCCTGTAGAGTGAGCACGAGTTGCACAATATAGCTAATAGAGTAAAACGTCAGGTCAGACACGATATTTCGGGGAAAAATTATCCGATCATCACGAAAATCAATAGGGATCATCTTCATAATGACATTGACACACAAAATAAAAATCAAAAGAATCCATAAAGAACTGTAGCCTGTAGAGTGAGCATGAGACAAATGTGAACGGACGGACGGACCGACGGGGTGATTACAATATACGCCCATCCTACGTGTGGGCGTATAAAAGAAACATTGTTGCAGTGTTGGGGAAAAAAATGTAAAAATATGAGTATGAGTCATGGCTGTAATAAATGATAAACATCAAACAGAATGTAATCTAACAGATGGTAAAAAATATTAAATTTTATCAGAAGATAAGAGTTGTATAGATAAGATATGATGTCATATTGGTAATATATTGATAACTATTAACCAGGGATTGAATTCATACAGAAATAGTTATCTTGAATATTCTTTTAAAACTATGATAACGGGTGGTTGAAAGGTAACAAGTTACTAGAAGGGACTCAATTTTTGTTAAGATTGTAAAATTTGAGGATTTTTAATTTCTTTCCCTTTTTTTTATATTGTAAGATTCTTGTTTCTCATTTCTGTTATTATGAATAGACCGAGTAATTCTTGTTTAATCAACTTTATTTTTCCATTTCCAACTGTTAAGAGTTAGGGCCTAGGTTAATTGTTCCTTTCAAATGATCAGACAACTTTTAGAGAGTCCACATGACAATTTTGAACTATGACCTGTACTATTAGTTATAAAAAATCTCATTAAAACAAGCTTCATTTCGTGTTTGCTGTTTTTTTTTCATGTATTTACATACTTTCTCCTTAAATGTCTACATTCAACCAATGACATTGATGGATTTATGGCCCTAGATTTACCTCATTTGCATATTTACTGTTTACGACTTTTAATCCTCTCGTTTATCAAATGTCAAGGTCACGATTTGCCGAGAATTTAATTCATAATTTCGCTGGAACAAATCTTGAACTGCAAATAGGTTAACTTGTTTCAAACTAAATTTCAAAGTGGTAAAAATCAGCCGAACAAGATTAGACATAGATAAGATGAAAGGAATGAAGAATTCTGATGTATTGAGACCTGTTAATCAAGACTTAACGTTGTCGTAAAACCAGTTCCGTGCTTGTTTTACTGTTGACATGGTAACCAATTCAAAGAGATATTCTACTTTTCTTTTATTTACTTTAATTAATTATCTCTTAAAAACTTGAGAAAACAGGAAAAACTTGACTTTTACCGGCTTGTTCAATTTATACTTGACGGTGAAATCACATACTTTAAGTTTGAAACTCTAGCTCAGAGGCGACTCTTGACGTAGATTCAATAGTGGAATTTAATTATCAGTTTTAAATTCTATCAGACGTCAAGTCGACCACGATTTAAAATAATATAAAATCTACAACTAACTATTATTCTACAGATTGAAGAATTTTGAAGAAAGAAAACCAGGCCCCATATTCTCAAAACAATCTTAGTGCTAGGATGTCCTAGGTTCTTATCTTCTAACATTGATTCTAGGATATCCTAGGTTCTTATCTTCTAACATTGATTCTAGGACGTCCTAGGTTCTCATCTTTTAACATTGATTCTAGGATATCCTAGGTTCTTATCTTCTAACATTGATTCTAGGATGTCCTAGGTTCTTATCTTCTAACATTGATTCTAGGATATCCTCGGTTCTTATCTTCTAACATTGATTCTAGGATATCCTAGGTTCTCATCTCCTAACATTGATTCTAGGACATCCTAGGTTCTTATCTTCTAACATTGATTCTAGGATGTCCTAGGTTCTTATCTTCTAACATTGATTCTAGGACATCCTAGGTTCTTATCTTCTAACATTGATTCTAGGATATCCTAGGTTCTTATCTTCTAACATTGATTCTAGGATGTCCTAGGTTCTTATCTTCTAACATTGATTCTAGGATATCCTAGGTTCTTATCTTCTAACATTGATTCTAGGATATCCTAGTGCTAAGATTATTTTGAGAATACATGGCCTTATTTATTCAAGGTAAAAGTTGAGTCTATTGAAATTTAGGAAAAGATGTAAAATATACCTAAACTCAGCAGGATATACATGTAATATATTACAAGAATTTTCAGAGTTAT